CATTTCGACCAGCCCTCCTCCAAAACCTACCCTCACTACTCTCCCTTCAAACCACACCAAAAACTAGCCCCAAAACAACCCTTCATCACTCCTAACAGCCCTGCCCCAAAGCCAAAAACCAAATAGCCCTTACTTTCATCTCGGCAAAACCAACCATTTCTCTTACCCTTGTTCTCTTAAAACCATTTCAAGCTATTCACAAAACATGTCTCAAGTTGATTTAGCTACTGCCCAAAAGAAGCTAAAGAAGGAAGTTGAGCTAATGATGAAAAAAATCAAAGAGCTCACTAACTCAGTGGAAATCCCTGTGTTTGAAGGAAGAACTGATCCGGAAAAGTTCTTAAAATGATTAACAAAGGTTGAAAACATCTTTACACTCAAAGACGTACCCGAAGACGAGAAGGTCAAGTTAGTGGTGGAAAGGTTTCAAAGACATGCCTCCACTTGGTGGGCTAGCGTTGCTGCTAAACGGAAGCTTCAAGGAAAAGCTAAGGTGAGAACTTGGGAAAAGATGCAAAAACTCTTAATAAAGAAGTTTTTACCTAGAGATTGTACCGAAAAAAATACCCCAAACATCTTCCACCTTCACCTTTAAAACACATCCTTGTTCTATGGCCTTAAACACCACCAAACCCACATCCATTACCACTACCCAAAACCTAATTCAATCCAACCTTTTACCTTCCCTACCTACTGCTCAAATTGATCCCAACACCCCTGCCCCAAAATTTCTTAAAAATAATCTGTTTTTCTTCCCTAGGTACTACCCAAACTAACCCCAAAACCCTTTCAATACCCCTCTCCCAAAACTCCGTAAAACCACTTCTATAACCTCTCCACAAACTGCCCAAAACAGCCCCATAACCACCACCATCTCCAAACCCCTTCAAAATTTCCCTCTTCACCTCACAACCAAACTGTCCAAAAGGACCATGAACCAACCTCAACATCCCTGACCCAAAAACCAACAAACTCAGTACCCTCCCACTCAAAAACCATGGTCCAACATGAATCCAAACCCACTGCCCTTAGCAAAACCGTACCCCCACCTCATTCTACAATCTCCAAAAGAAGCCGGCCACCAAGCCTAATGTTCCTAGCTGCTACCATTGTCAAAGGTCTGGTCATAATGTTATTACATGCCCAAATAAGAGAATGATGGCTTTGGTTGAATGTGAAAAGCAACCAGAAACTTTGGGGCAAGAACAAACACATGAAGATGTTAAATCTCTAGGCCAAGATGAAGGTGAACACTTGGTCATTAAAAGACCATTGAGTAGTCTTTAAATCTCTAGGCATGAGGTACCGTTAGTGAAGATAGTCTTTGAGGGGAGGCTTCCACATCTTGGCTCATAGCTCCACTTTGAATCTTCTTCTCATCAACTTGCATTTTTAGGCTAGTTCAGCCATAGCATAAGAACTCATCTCTGGTGGCAGCAACATCCTTGTTCTCTAATTCACCATTGGGTTTGTTTTCACCTAAACTTAGATGAGTCTGCAATTCTATCCATTGGTGAGACGTGGACATGGGTAGGAA